TCTTTCCCTGACACCTCTGCTTCCACACTCAGGAAGGGGCTCAGCTGCTGCTGGGCTGGGGGGTCAGCCCACATGTGCACCCCACAGCAAACCCACCGTAGAGGTCTGAGTGTGTCCGGGCACCCGGGACGCAGCAGGTGGCAGAGAGATAAAACAGAGCCCTCCGCTTCCGATGGCGATGGGAAGTGGGGAGAGGAGGCACAGCAGTGAAGGGGGAGGGACAGTGCCCAGGGTCTTTGCAGATGGGATAAAGTCAAAGATCTGAGCTGAGGTCCTCCTGGAGGAGGGTGGCCCTACATCCAATGACAGGGTCCTTCTAAGACACAGAAGGCGAGAGACCCAGACACAGAGGAGAAGCCCCGTGAAGACAGAGGCAGAGACGGGAGGGACGCGGCCACGAGCCCAGGGACGCCTGGAGCCCCCAGAAGCTGGAAGAGGCAGGAATGACCCTCCCCTGGAGCCTCTGGAGGGAGCGCAGTCCTGGGACACCTTGACCTCAGACGTCTTGTTTCCAGGATGCGAGAGGGTGGATTGTTGCCTGTCACTCCCAGGACTCTGAGGTGTCCTGGGCTCTTCGAGGAGGGTCAGGACCCAGCCTCCTCCCCACTGCTCCCATGGGTGAGGGCCTCACATGAGTCTTACTTGCTTCCTATTAGTTGTTAAAGAAAAAAAGGTTCAGAGCTTTTCTCACAGCACTTTATGTATGAACGTTATCCTGAAATTAATTATCCACTTCTTGGGGCAAAAGCACTCTTATCATTTTGTCCAAATGACAAACATCCTTTTGGGTTACTCGCTTCTCGAAATCCAAGTGAAGCACGCCATAAATTCCAAATACACCGAGACGTGCTTAAAGTCACCTTCAAGTACCAGGCAAGGTCCATCATCACTTTTTGAAAACTCTTGGGACGACTAAGAGAAAGTCATTCTGTTTTCCCTCAAAACCGGTTTCTCATGCTGACTTGCTGTATCTGGTCATGAAAACCACAGACCAGAGGAGGGGTCTTCAGTCTCACCCCACCTCCGTCAGCACTTCCCTTCATTCGCCCCTTTCCATCCTGGCCACGCCCCCAGGCCACGCCCCACCCCTCCAGGCAGAAGCTCATCTCTCTGCGCCCCATGCAGCGCAGGGCAATGCAATAACGTGGTCTTGGGGAAACACTACTCCCGCCATGTCGCTGCCCTCGGGAAGCCCAGCAGCCAGCCACAGAGGCAGAGAGATTACCCAGCCCTGAGGTCTGCTTCTGCCTCAATCCCAATCCGGCTGGCGCGGCCCAGATGCAGCAGCCTGCCGTGTGGCGGCTCTGAGCATAAACATCTGGTCCTCACACTTGGAACATAGCACCCCCACAAGTCCCCTTCCCCCGCAGGCGCCCTCCCCTAATTCAGGGCACCCCCTAGTCCCACAGCTCACTTCCTCCACGCCCCATCCCTCCAGACGGAGAGGAATGGCCTCTCCCTGCTGTGAACGCCTACGGAACTTAACTTCCACAGGTCTGTGACATCCTACTTGCTGCGCAGAAACACATTCTCTTCATATGCAACCAAGTCACCCTCCTTGCACGAGATGACTTTGTGTAGACACCTCCAGACCTAAGGGGACTCACACCAAGTCACGGGGTCACGAAACACAAGAATTCATCTTCCAGCGGTGTCCGCCAGGCTGTGTCACCGGAGCACACTTAGTGACAAAGTGGGGAGCTCCCCACAGAAGGCCTGAGGGATCCCAGGGAGGAAAAGTGCCTGGAGGTGGACGGGCGCGGGGCTGTCACTGCTAGAGGGATCTTGCTGAACCCTGGCCCTCCTCATGTACCCACCTCCTCAGTTCAATGGGGGCTCAGGCAGGCCTTCTGGAGCACTGTGGTTCTGCAGGTCAGTGGGGGCACTGCAGGCGGTCAGACTCAGGGATGGGTCCCGGGACACACGTTCCTGCAGATGCAAATAAGCCTCCCTCAGGGCATTTCTACAGGGTCTCCCAAGCTGCCTCTGGGTCTACCTCCCATCCTCCTTGGAGGCTCACTTTCTGGAAAATATCCTTGATCTGTGAGAACATGTCAGACACCCTCCAATCACTTGGAACCAGACGAGTTCCTTCTGGACTGACATCCACCTCTCACCCTCCCCTTTGTGGCTGGGAAACCAGCAGACTAAGTGATGGGAGAAGTCCCTCCTCCTGATATGCTCAGTGCTGTTGATGGGATGGATGCGGGCTCAACCGAAAAAACTTAAATGTTATCATCAAGTCCCAATGGAACAGTCACACTCCTTCAGGCTTAGGCGTATGCTAGGGGTACGATATGCACCAACCATATGTTTTCCCGTAACACCTGGAGACGCTTTATTACTTTTAACCGACACAGTATTAAATATCAAAAGGCACCTTTTTTAAAAAAAATTAAATATACTGCTGTCCAGCTGTCCTTATTGTAGATAAATGAGGCATAAAATCTCTAGGTTCAGAAGCTAGGCAGAATAGAAGCTAAGCCACGGATAACTAAAACCAACCGGAAACAAACTCCAGAATGACGACCAACTTGGGAATCTGTCAAAGACAACATTTTTCTGTGTGCGAGACTTTCTTGGCAGGGGGAAGAGACTAGCCGTGCAAGCGCTTTCATGCCTGACATTCCTCCAGCATCTTCGACCACCCTCAGCTACACGTCGGTAGGCGACCCGAGTTACCTCCGCAGGCGTTAGAAGGAAGAGTAACTTACTACTCTCGTCCCTGCGGATCGACGAGGCCCTCGAACAGGTAGTCCCCTCCGGGCACTAGAGGCGGCTCCCAGGGGGAGAGCGGTGGACGCGGGGGCCGGGCCGGGCGCCCCTGGGCTATCCAACCCGCGCGGCCTGCAGGCGAGGGCCGGGGCTGCGAACGGGGGCCCGGGCTGCCCTGCGTCTCCCCCGACCCCCTCGGGCCCCCCGGGCATCTTGATCCTCTGCAAGCAGTCTTGGAGCATTGCCTGCGTGCTGGACTCGCTGAGCCAGCACAGGAAGAGTTCGTCCACCTTCATCTTCAGGACGGGCTGCAGGACTTTGCCGGGCGGCATCTTCGGGGCTCGGACCCTCCTTCCAGGGGGACTCCTTCCTCCTGCACAGGTACCTGGAGCCGGGACCGAAGTCCGGCCTGAATGGACCTCCGCGTAGTAGGCGACGGCTGCCAGAGGGGACGAGCCCCACGGGGGTCCCGGACCCGTGATCCCGGGTGAAGGCGGCCGGCCCGGCGTGCGTTGCGGGTCCGGGGCCAGGTGAGGAGGCAGCGGCCCGGCGGGCGTGGCGGGCCCGGGGTCTGGTGTGGAGTCAACTGCCTGGCGGGCGTCGCGGGCCCGGGGTCATGGGTCAGGGGTAGGGCAGCGCCCCGCCCAGGGGCTGCGCGGATTCGGGGGCTCGGCGGAGGCAGAAGGCCGGACCTCGGCCGGGCCCGCCCAACTCAGGGCAGCTTCAAAACGGGCGCGCCGGCTTTGGTCCCAAAGAAGGTCGCCTATGTCGTGCGTCACCGTGACGCGTGGCGTCACACGGTGCCGCCCGTCGGCGCCCACGACTCGAGCCGTGGCTGTGCAGGGGCGCTTCAGTGGGCTGGAGGGCGCTCAGGAGCTGGAGTGGGGACGGGGGCGGGGGGTGGCGGGCACCCCACCCCGTGTCTTTCAGCTTTTAGGCTTTCTTGGGGTGCGACCCGCAGCAGCGACGTGCCCTTTTGTCCGCGGAAGTGCAAGCATGCGCGGTGCGATCTCGCCGGGATGGGCGGGGTTAGTTGGCCGGTCTGTTGCGCATTCGCAGTGCATGCCTATAGTGGCGGCGCTCGGGAGGCCCGTCGGTGGAGCATGAGCAGTGCGTTCCCACCGGGAGCTAGTCGGAGGCCGGACATTGTGCGCGGAGAGGGCGCGGTACAGGGGAGGAGCATGCGCAGTGCGTGCCCGCCGACCGCGGGAGCGAGCGGGAGGCGGGCGTGGCGGCGGTTGCGGGGAAATGCAGATTTTAGATAAAACGGGCCCCTTCAGACCGCAATGGTCGAGGTTGCCTAAAATTTGTTAAATGATAGTGACGGGTTGGAGGCGTGCAGCTGCTTTAAAGCTGGCCTTTCAGGCTGAGAATGAATTGCTTTTGTAATTGCAAAAATAATAAATTTATTTTGATGGAAGTGGAAGTAATTACTTAAATGACTTTGGCCCCATGACTAGCTTATTTCAGTTTATCCTTTTAATAGTGTCGATAAATCATCCACACAGCAGACATGCACCTCTTTTTTTTTAATGCCTTGATTTTTTTTTTCTTTTCTAATTTTTTTTTTTTTTTTTCTTAACATTATTTTATGAGTTTTCTCTTGGGTTTGCTCTCTTTTAGGAGGTAATTTCGAGGTCTTATGAGCTGGGCTCTCCTATTTCTCAGGAGTATAAATATAGCTAGACTCACTAAATAACTCTTAAACTATGGTTTTATTTTGTGCCTACAATGATTTCAAACTTCATTTGTGTTTGTTGACTGAAGAAAAATGCACAGCCTAAGAGTTGAGAATTATGTTTTATTCCGTGGACTTGCTGAGGACTTAAGCCAGGGAGTAGCCTCTCAGATGGCTCTGAGGGACTTCTTCCAAGAGGTCAGGGAGGAGCCAGGGTACAGAGGCCTTTTTTGCAACAAAAAATAAGATAGTTGGAAGGTTACTGTTAATGAAAGAAAAACAGACATCTCAAGTTAATGAATTTATCACTTTTCTATGGATGGGAAGATGCTAAAGAGAGGAAATCACTCTTTCGATATGCACCGTAGCTATCTGGGACCAGTATCCTGCCTTTCTCTATCCTGAGTCCCCCGAGGGTGCACAGTCCAGGGTGCCTGCAGTGGCTGAGAGCTTGAAGGATGCAATATCCTTTGTTTACTGATATGGCTTGAAGATAAAAATCCGAGTATCCTGTGTCAGGACAGGGCCATAATGCAGGAATTATGTGTGGTTATTTCTATTCATTGGGAAGCTAATGCTTGTGTGCGCAGGCTGTGCCTTCTGGAGAGAAGTAAATATTAATACACGTCTCTGAGTTTATCACATACAGACATCTTGTCCAAGAACAAATGTGCTTTTCACTCGGGGTCTGTAAACGAGCTGCCATTCATCCACGTGGTTTTGGGGTGGGGGTGGGGGAATGGTCTTTTTGAGTCCCTGCACAAGACGGCTTTATACTCCGGGGCTCGGCGGGGCCTAAAGAAAGGTCTGGGCGTCTGCCAACGGGACAGCAACAAACTCCGGGAAGGAAACAGAACCTCCTTCAGTCTGTGCGGTGAATCCTGCCGCAGAGCACAGAGAGGTGCTGTGTGGCCCGAGGACGGCGGGGCAGAGGCCGGAGGGGCCTGGGATGTGCACTGCCCACCCCTGAACAGAGGCAGGACTCTGCTAACGGCAGGAATGGAAGGACTGCTGGCTGCATCCGCCTTCCAGGGGTGGCGGAGGTCTCAGGGCGGTGGGGCGGGGTGGGGGCGTGTGTGGACAGCGTGCACGTGGAGAGGAAGATCCCAGAGGGCCCCCTGTGGGAGGGCATGCACTGCGCATGCTCCCCATGTGGGAGGGCGGAGCTTATCCAGGGGAGTGGGAGGGAGGGCAGTCCTTCCTTCGTCCACGGGAGCCCAGGTCCCTTCTGTGGCCATCAACTCAAAGCCGGTGGGACGCACCAGCTTCAGCCCCAGGTGGAGATGCTCGGAAAGGCAGGCGCTCACAGCATCCTGTGGCTCTGAGTCACACCTGCCTATCACCAGAGCTCAGGTCGGGTGGTTGATTGCACACTCAGGCATGACGCATGAAGACGCCCTGGACAGAGTGTCCTATGTGGTCAGTCTCACTGGTCCTGGGCTGACCCTGAGCTCCAAATATACGTGTTCTGTGCAGCTAGAGGTCGGAGTGGTCAAGTTGATATCTGCCACGGCTGTTCCACCTGTTCTTTCTTCCCTCCTTCCTTTCTTCCTTTCTTTCTCTCCGTCTTCCTCACTTCCTTCCTCCCTCCCTCCCTCCCTCTCTTTCTTTCCTTTTTTTTTTGGTCTTTGTCTTTCTCGTGAAAAGGGACTTCTGAACAGCCACGAGGGTACATGTGTGTGATTTCAAGTGACTTCCTCTCAAAGTACTTAATGGGGAGTTCCATCAAGTACAGTGTGGAGGCTCTTTTCTGACTGGTGTGTCTTTTCCATCTCTGTCTTTTCCCTTCCTTGTCTTTATTTGCTTTGCTTTATTCCCGGCTGATTTCCTTTTCAGCCTTGGTTTCTTGCTGGATAAGACTTCCTTTCAGACCATGTGAAAGGAGGAAGTGGCTGGTGCATCCCATCACTGTGGGGCAGCCCCGGCAGACACATCCCGTTACGGGAATACTGCACATTCCCTGATTGTCGATGAACCATTTCCTTCCTGTGAACCTCGCTCACCCCTGCACCCTCTAACGTGTGGGACTCAGACAAACCCTGGACCCAGTGCCCCCGAGTTTCCCTCCATTGAAAGCAAAGTGGTTTCGGGGAAAGGTTTCCAGACACAGAACCAGGGATCAAATGGCCTTTGAACATTTTTTCAGCACTCCTTATGTGCTAAGGTTTTCCTGCAGCCAGGACAAAAAGGAGAGGGAAATCCATTGAACGTTTCCTATATAAGGAAACGTTTTAGGTAAAACGCAATATGGACCTGATAATTTAAAAGGTAAAATGCAATATGGACCTGATAATTTAAAAGAAATTTTAGGTAAAATGCAATATGGACCTGATAATTTAAAAGAAAAATTTTTTTGTTAGCACCCATTTTGATAAGCTTTCAAAGAATAAGAATGTTGAACAAAAGAGGAAAAATGAAATGAATTCATAGCAGTTCTAACCAAACTAAAGAGAACTGAAAAAATCTCAAATGCTAAAAAAAAATAATAATAAATAAAAAAAATTTTAAAGATTGGAGGGGGGAGGGATAAATTGGGAGACTGGGATTGACATACACACACTACTATACATAAAATAGATAACTAATAAGAACCTACTGTATAGCACAGGGAACTCTACTCAATACTCTGTCATGGCCTGTATGGGAAAAGAATATGAAAAAAAAAGAGTGTATATATAAAACTGATTCACTTTGCTGTACACCTGAAACTAACACAACATTGTAAATCAACTATACTCCAATAAAAACTAAAAAGAAAAAAAATGGGGAGTGTGCATATAATCTGCCCTTTTATCCACAAGAAAGAGTTTTACAGAAGTCGTGTATGTGCATGGTTTTGTACTATTTATAACGAAACTTTCCAGACATCCACTAATGGTCTTGATTCAACATCCCAGTTCTAAATGCTGGCTCAAAACCCCACCCTCTAAATGACCTTTGACTCTGCCCCATTTTTTGTTGTATTTGTCCAGCTGTCAGCTGTAATGGTTGTGATCCACTGTAACTTCATGACATCAGCTCGCCCGCCTCTATCAATCCCTTGTCTTTTAACTTACTAACAATTTATTTGTTATGCTGGGACGCAGCATAATTAAACGGGTTAGTATTGGGTCATCTCAGTGTGTGCGACACGCCTGAGGACATAGATAAATAAAACAACTCATGATCTCAGAGATCCAGAAGCGGAATCGGGTGGGAGATGGGAATTATTTAATTAGATAATTCAACGGTCAATTGTACGGTATGATGCAGAAGGATGATAGAAAAGTGAACGTGGGGAGACAGGACAGGCTTGCAGGAGGTCGAGGGGAGCGCTATTTAAGCAGAGTTGTTAAGGATGATTAATACTGGAAAGCAGGCTGTGTGGAAAGAACACACAAGAATTGAAGCTAGAACCATTGTTTGAGGGTCTGTCATGAGGGGCTTCGGTGCCAGGCAGAGACTTTGGACGTTCTCATGCACAAATACCTTAAATTAGGAGGCTGGAAAAATAGTGATCATGTTAAGTTATGGTGGGGTAGTTGGTAAAACCATGAGGAAACATAGTGATCATGTTAAGTTATGGTGGGATAGTTGGTAAAACCATGACTTGCATTAACCTGGGAGGCAAAACATGTGCCCTGTACACCGGCAGCTCTGGGAAACCATCTGAAA